AAGCCGGATACGTGCCGTTTCTATGCCCTCCTCGTCAGTTGCGAGTCGCGTATTCAAATCCGCAGACGTGTCTTTATCCGTGAAAAAAGAAAGGAAAAAATGATAGCAGTATATGAAATGTTACTTGTGGACCATGGGCACATGAAAAAATGGTTGAAAAATCACATAAACAATGTCTAAAATTCTATAAAACCACTCATTGAGAGAACACATAAAAATCCTTGAGTTTAAACTTGGATGAATTTCTGAATCACTGTGAAACACAATTACATATTTAAAAAATCAACAAAAAAACCAAGGTTTAAAAGCTTCAAAAACATCTGAACTTGTAAAACATAATGTCAGAATTGAGAAAAAATTACCAAAATGACGTTCACTTTTGACGCAACCGGAGTATGTCATTACAAGAATTTCCCATTCCGAAGTTATTTATGGGCACAAATCATGTGATTTTTCAACCATTTTTTCATGTGCCCTCGTCCAAAAGTAACATTTCATATATAATGATATACTTATGATATCAAAGTTCGGTTAGTTGTCATTAGTCGTGCTTTACGTATATAAAATTAAGTTTTTCGCGTAATCTTTTCCCGTGCGCTAAATAAATGATTATTAACGAACGTTTTCGCAAACGCTAAGCTCAAGCTTCGTTTGAGGCGTGTACCTCGAGCCGAGCCTAAATAAATAAGCAGGAAACAAGGGGAACAATTACGAGTCATCGTAATAATAAATTCAGACAATTATTCGCGCAACATTACGGCCTCTGCTTCACGAATGCGTTATGCGATACCGGTTTATTGAGCCTTCCGAATGAGACGGTCGTCGAACCGTCGTCTGAGCGTCACGTATGAGTTGCAGGGCGCCAGGAAGAACGCGAAAATATCGGAGGATCGAGCGCAAAGAACGCTGGCGAACGTAATAAGACTTCGCGAACATTTCGGGAGGATACTCGGAACTTCGGCGCGCTGTTTTCGTTGCAACGTTGCCTCGTTAATCTCCACGAAACAGTCCAAACGTCTTAGGAAAAGTTCTCTCTTTTTTCTTCTTCTTTTTCCGCTTTTCAACAAAGTCCATCCTCCGAACGAACGAAAGGGAGAATCGCGCGCGCAAGAAACGCGACGGTCCAGTACACTCGCGCTGACTCCGTCAGGAATTTGCATGCCCGAGTATGCTCTTGGCGCGGCGAACAGGTTAAAAATGAATGGAGCGCCGCGCTTTTCTCCAGTTTTCAATCCCGTACGAAACATAGAAGAGATCGGCCTTCGCGAGGTGGCGCACAGCTTCATCGGAATTTTCCGCGCGCGAATGCCGCGAGCGACGCTCGTCGCCATCCACGAAAGAAGCAATCAGTCCTTCCGGGTCTGGTGGATTAACGAGAAGGAAGATCCGATGCAGTTGTCGTTGCGAAATGGGCGCGATCTATTTTGACGAGCGAGACGCGCTGGCTCTCAGCTAATCAGATGGAGTGTCTCCCGCAGCTACCGTACTTTCCGACAGTTCGTAACTTTTCCGAGAGACTTCATTAATTAGATATTGCGATTTCCAATTTAAAATTCCACTTCGAATTCCGTCATCGATAATCCGAAGAGATATTAAAAATCATGAAAGTTACGACGTGTCGCGAAAATCTCTATAAAAAGTTTCTTCTAGATTCATTGGGAAATTAACGATATCGAAAATTATGCACGTGGAGGGAAAGTAGTGTTTTCCTACTAGTTTGTTTTTACAGCAAAACAGTGTGTACATTCAGCGAAATAATCTAGTAAGTGACAATCATTATTCTTAACATATCGTTTCGTTGTCCATACGAGGTCTGTTCAAAAAGTATCGCGAATTTTGTGTTTTTTCAAAAATTATTTATTTATTCATGAATATCTATTTTGTCTCCTTCAAAGTAATCCCCATTAGATATTATACACTTGTGCCAACGTTTTTTCCAATCCTCGAAGCACTTCAAAAAATAATTTTTTGTGATCTTGTTCAGCTCCTCCTTCGATGCCGTCTTTATCTCCTCAATCGTAGCGTAGCGTCGTCCTTTCATGTGCCTCTTCAGTTTCGGGAACAAGAAAAAGTCACAGGGGGCCAGGTCTGGGGAATACGGTGGCTGCGGCATCATTAGTGTGTTGTTTTTGGCCAAAAATTCGCGCACAAGCAACGATGTGTGAGCAGGGGCGTTGGTACGAATTTCGCGGCGACCCGTCTCATGCCCAAATCATTAGTAAAAATCGAATGGCACGAGCCAATCGATATGTTTAGGTCCTCAGCAACTTCTCTAACGGCGATTCGACGATTGGCCAATACTATTTTCTTCACTTCATCAATGTTTTTGTCTGTTGTTGACGCGCTCGGGCGTCCGGCACGCTCTTTGTCGTTCACATCTTCTCGGCCCTCTGAGAACATTTTGTACCACCGATAAACGTTGCTTCGGACCAAGGTAGCTTTACCATATGCCATAGTCAACATTCGGAATGCGTCCGCGCACTTAATTTTGTTTTTCACACAAAATTTGATACAGATTCTTTGATCCATTTTTTGGAATAGGCAAAAATCGAAGACGAGTCAAAACACGTCCAAGCAAAACAGTTGTCAAAGATAAACTGAATATTCAAAATAGCCGAACTTGTCGGCATAAGTGAGGGACATGAGTACCAACATAACGCCACAAAAAAATCGAAAATCGAATATACATAACCCGCGGAAATTCAAAATTCGCGATGCTTTTTGAACAGACCTCGTATAGTAATCGACAGAGAAAATAGACTCTAAAACCGACATATATGATAATTATTATCAAGACACCTGCGATAACGTAATTGCAAAATTCGCGTTACGGAATCAGTCTGATCGCCATCGTCGAGTGGCTTTTGGACGAAAGCGCTCCTTCGTTCGGTCTCCATTACGAATCCATTGAGGGGGCAGAGGCCACTCAAGGCAATCGACTCCGCACAGTGGACAGAGGAAGAGACGGAATTGCAACGCGCCGAGATGTTAGCTTTTCGTCAAAGGGTCCTATTAGTATGCGGTTAGTATTACGGCGCGTGTATCAGGATGTACGTTGAGGCGGAACGGCGCTATCTATTACCGATTCTCTGGCACGTGAACTACCGACCCCATCGTCGTTCTCCATCCCGCGAGCCCCTTCGTCTCTTCTTGCCCTTCTAACAGACACAGCGTTGCACGCTGAGCACGTGTATTTGTGTTGCGTGCGTGCACTTCTCGATTTCCTACGGTGTGGATCGCTTTGTAGGTACGTTCGATGGAATCGAGAATGTCGGGATCAGTCAATAAGACGATTAGCCTGCGCTCCTGGCACGACCCTTAACGTTAGCGGGAAATCGCGCGCATTCCGCCGTGATCTACCGTAAGAGATCGGTCTGAGGGAGGATACTTGGAATACTTGGGCGGACACGAGCAGGCCTCGCGTGCTCCGAGTATCGGGCTTTATGTATCTCTTTCCAGCGCTCTGTCCGTCGGAACGGTCGCTAATCAGATCTCGCGACTTCGAATACAATTTTTGCGTCGGTCACGCTTAATGTTCGGCCACCAGAGTCTTTCATGTCGCTACGTTATTTATATTCTCATTATTTCTTATTACAGACGAATGCGATTTTTCAGTCGCATCGAAAGATAGTCATTTCTCCATTCGAAAGACCGGAAAATATCCTCACGGCGTTGATATTTTAATTGTTTGCTGTTAATTATACAGGCGTCATTGATTTTTTCCCACTATTTCTGTTTGCGAGAAGATACGTAACGGTAAACATCAATTAAAGCGTTAACTAAACGCGCCCCCTCATCCTCTTTATCCCTCCCGTCTCATTTGTCCCTTTGTATTGCCCGCGAGGTAATACCTCCGCGTGATTTTGAGTATTCCGGAAGTGGATCGTCACGTACGAATGGACTGTTCATAATTGTTAGTCAATTAAATGCCGTCGCGTACTGTAAAACACACTTTGATCTCTTGTTCGGCTCATGATGGTCCGCGCGATGGGGGAAAAAATTGCGCCGTCGTTCGGAAGCGCGCCGCCACATAAACCTACCACTAACGACATAATAATTCCGCAATTTTGCGACACAGAATCCCGCTGCCCCGTTAAACCGCGCGCTATAATGCCACCTTTGACAATCGATGCATAATTCGGAACACCGCCCGTGGGGAAATCATATTTCGCTCACCTAAAACGAAATAATCTTCGTTTGTTTGTCATCGTGTGTGCGTGTTGCAGAATATCATTTTGAAAAAAAAAATTTTTTTTACGGAAACGTCAAATCTGCCCGCTCTCTGAACTGTTTTTCGAATGCTTTTACTCGAGGCGTACGCGTTATTTACAAGAGATAGACAAATGAATTTGTAGAGTTTATTGTTAAATCTTGGGTCCAACGTACGGACATGAGTGGTGAGTACGCGTGAGATACATGCCGAGAGACGGAGACAGGGAGGGGATATTGGCGATTGCAAACTTTGCGAGACGATGTTCTTTCTTTCTTTCCTGCCCGCTATTCTTGCACATTGCGAAATACATCATTTTTCTGGGACTAAAATAACATACACCGCGGACAGTTCAATATTGCGCAAATGATATTTTACGCGTTACACAAATGGCCGCGTTAAATTCGAACGAGAAGCTAAATTGCACACACGCCACCGTTAATACGTATTACATACTAATTAAATGGAAATTAACTCCTCAAACACTAGTAAATTCATTATCGGCGCGTAATAGTATCGAAATGCTCACGGGATGATACTCCATTTCAGGTATCAAAGGAAGTATTAAATCCCGGTCACTCTATTACGCTTAACATCGATACCCGTCACTTTGACGCGAGGTATATCGACCGGCTGTTTGTCCGGAAATCGCCCCGGTACTAGCCGCGTCGTCGCCGGGCGGAACGCGAGAAAAGCGCGTGGACGCTTCCACCGTTGGCAGTCGGCCAAAAGCGCCGCGCTGTCCTTTTAATTGTTAGCATATTTTAACCGTAATTTTCCTCTGTTCCAGCTGTCTGAGCCCGAGGTCCGCGTTCTTCTACGAGTTCCCGCCTAACGGTAAGTCCTCTGTTTAAGATTTAAGAGGCGCAAAATTCTTACCGGCGCTCGCGGCGGCGGTATAACCTCGTGGTTTGGCTCATACCAAAAGAGGAGCGAGCCGGCATCAGATTTGTATGCGGAAGATCATTTAATGCATCGATTGTAGGGCTTTGCATACATTCCGTATGCATACGCGGTGCGATTTCGTTCGCGCACCACCCGATGAAATATATCTAAACAATGGGGCGACCGATTCCCTCCTTCTTGGCGCTGCGATGTTATGTGGGAATGCGCCGGCAGTTGCAGATCTCGAACAACATTGTTGTCTCATCTGTATTATACAAAACGCGGATAATGCCGATCGAAGAGCGAGCGAGCGCTTGTAATCTCATATTCAAGCTCGGCCGGGAGAAGAAGACGGAGGAGGTCCCACCGATAGCTTGACTCCGTAGTTGGCCGTAGCTCTTAAGCCTCTTAGCATCGCAGCCGAGAATGATAAAGTTATTTGCGGATCTACTTACAGCGGCGAAAAAGGTTGAGAGAGAGAGAGAGAGAGAAGATCCCTCCACGCGCGCGATCGCAAATCGGATATTTGCGCGAGGAAACTCTGTCGATTGAAAACGACGCGAAAGGAGTTGCACTCTCGACGACGCTGTATATTTACGTTCAAAATCGAACCGAGAAGCGGTTCTAGTGCCGCACAATTTTTATTTTCTCTTTCTACGATTTCCCATGATGTTCGAATAATTGGAATAAAATACGTGAGATTGATTGCTTAATTCTTCTGAATGACGAACGTAAGAAGTCTATCTGCTTGAATTTTTCTGGAATTTCTTCTAGGATACGAATCGGTTTCACTGTTTTTTCCTGGATTGTATGATCGGTCAGTACTCGCGCGACCTCGTTCGATTTATGAACGTACCACCATTCGAGCACATAAAAAAAGCATCGTTACGTGTCTATTACGCGATCGCAGATTTTCGAGTATTTATTGCCATCTGAGATCTCCCGTGTATATCGTGTCACGTGTAAGAAATATACGAAGCTACGATTGCATTTCTTCATCGTTCGGGGGGTCCACCGCCGCCGATTTTTGCCCGGTGAGATACGCGCTCGAGAAGGTAGTTATATTACCGGTGCACATGCAATCGCGCGCCCAACGGAGGAGAAATAAAACCGAGACGAAGACCGCAGCGCGGTGGAATTTTTCGAGAGATATCGAAAAACACTTTAGATCTCTCCCGTATTGGAAAGGCGGCCGATGAAGAAGGGCCGCGACCGACCGGGGGGCCTAACGTTGATATTTCATTTCTATTGACTTCTACCGCCACCCTCGCGCACGTTATACCCTTTCCCGCTATGAATACATAATTGAGCTCTCTCTCCGCATACCTCTCGATAATGTACATATATATATATATCTTTAACGCCGTCTACCTCCGTCTCCTTTCCATGGGTGAAGACGTCTACTTGGTTCAGAATATGGTCAATACTTTAGATCTCGTTTTAGTCTAATAATTCGCTTTACGTCGACTCGGTTTGATTTTCGAGTCACTTTACAAACGTCGAGTCGGACAATTATCTGAAAAGTGACGAAAAAAGATAAAAATTCTAGATAATTTCCGGATACTGTTGTAAGAAAGTATTTGACGGTCTTTATTAGTCTTTGCCAATAGTAAGTCGCGTTTGGAAGCGATTTGCGAAGCGAGCGCCTCTAGAAAAGTATTTAAGTGCACCAAGCTTGCGAAAAGCTCTCTGTCTCTTCATTCTTGGCTACAGTTGTGTCTAAACTCTAGTGATTGCGATCTAAGAATTCCCGTAGATTCTATTGGAAATTTGCTGCTTGCTATTATAAGATTCAAGGATGAAATTTCGCTGACTCGTTCGTCGAGCATATCGCAAGGCCCTATTTTTTTCACATCTCTATTTTCTTATTATATGTTCTCCGTGTGCGTCTCACATGTATCCTTTATTTTATTCGACGGAGGAGTGGTTCCCTAGACGCGTGAAACGTCGATACCATCTCGGCGCCACTCTCGTTGCTCCGAGTCATAAAAATACTCCGCAGCAGGGCGCAAGGATAGACGAGGGTGGGCGGCGAAGAAAAGAATCTGCATCACGCAACGCACGAGGAGGAGCTTCTCGACCTAACTACGGTCCCTACGGTCCTTGTTACTCGGCCGAATTCTAAGATTCCACCGGTCGACATGTCCAGTCGTTGACACCTCTCGACCGTCTTCCGGCGTTCCTGATCAGCGACGAGATTACCCTCGTGAAATCCTCGATCCCTCTCACAGCGCGTTACCGTGCCGGGCCGCACGGTAGAGATACTCCGCTGAATCGCAACGACTAATCAGTTTAGGGCGGAAACGCGCAAAGCGGCGCGCGCTTAACAGTAATTCCGTGTAAGAGGCGTCGATGCCGGATTGCTGCAGCAGTTGTCGCGTAGTATACAACTGCCGGAGTGTATATATATATATATTTGGCTGGGGGACCGAACCCCCGAATGTGTAGGGGTTGCGCAAACACCCTCGCGCGGCTTGCTTGGCGAAACGCACGGACTGTGAGAGAGCAAGCCTGTTTGTCTGGACTGGAATCCAAGTAAGAGGTGGGCGGCCAGCAGTAGGCGACGGTGGCGAGGCGCGGGAGAGAAGTTGGAGAAGTGCGCTTATCCCTGCCTGCCTGGCCGCCTCCGGTAGTAAAGCGCATGCTATGGGATGAATGGTAATGAATGCATCGTACGATGAATTCGTCGAGATGTCACGGCTTCGAGCGCTCCTACGGGTAGGCATGGTATACCCGAAGAATTTCTCTCATTTGTCGGATATCCCGGTGGTGAGTCCATCTGCATAGAACATTTCTTGCTATTTAATTGATTTCCCAAAATAATTATGGATTCTGCTTGAGAAATCTGCGTAGGTTCTCTCTGATTAGAAGTATAATGTTTCAAACATATGACTCCAGGAAATATTAACAGATCCTATATAGACGCTCCCGACGTCTTCTCAATTTTATTTTATTCTACTTTCTATCTTACGGTACAATTGAAAATATACGAAACACTTCAAGTAACCATAGGAATAATTGAACTGTCAAAAAGAATGAGCAAAGTGAATTTCATTCTTGAAAATGTGAGAAAATAATGAATCCGCTTTAAAAAAGAAAGTAGAAAGTGAATCTTTTCAAAATAATTTATATGTTAAAAATTAAATTGTTTATCGATTATATCATTTCTTGGAGAGACACTGACTTACTTTATAGTGAAATTCAATGAAGAATAAAATTTGAATTTTAGATAATAAAAATGTCACATGATACATAGGATTGAAAATTTGAATTCGGAAACGTTAAATTCGGAATTTTCGGCAATTTTTTCATCTACCTTTTCAACACGATTATTACTCCGCGGAGAGAGGTGAAGGAGGTGAATCTGTTGATTTGTCCGAATGATATTTACGAATTATCGTAACAAGATCAGACGCGAATATACTGAATATCCCAGCGTGACGGAATGTGTCGTTCGTACGGAATGGAAGCTAGCTAGAATGATGCGTTTATCCTCCGTGCGAGTGCATCTCGCCGACGTCACGTTCCGCTCACGGTCGGGCCCGATGATTGTGTGCCGTTGTACCGCTCGAAGCCGTTGTGAAATTCCGACAAGTGAACGTTGGCTGTTCAAATAAGACATAACGATGAAACCCGGAGATACGCGTATCCTCCGTGTGTAGCTTCTTCTTTTCGCTTGTCCTGTTTCTTTTTTCTAACGGAGCATATGGCACTGCGTAGGACAATTTTAACTAAATAAACAGCTGTCATGACACGTTGAACCCACACCAAATGAATAATATGGAAAATGTATCGTTGCAAAATGCAAATTCTCAGTGTTATAAATTTAATACTCGCAATCGTTTTAACGCGTATAAATAAATGTCTACATATAGGAAGGAAATACTCTATTGTCTGTATAGTCAATTATATTTCTACTTTTAATAAATACTTACTAAGGAATATTGGAGTAACCATTTCATTTGGATCAAATAAATATTACTTGAATGGTAGCATTTTTTTCAGTGTGTGTACGCACGAACAAAAGAATGACCTAAAATTTTGCTTAATATTTCGCAATTTTCTAACGATATTAATGCAATTATTCATGGTGCATTTATTATAAAAATTATAATTATAAAAATTACAAAAATACAAATTATAAAACTACAAGAATCTATATCGGAAAAATAAAAAATCACGGTGTAGTATTTAATTTGCGAGATATCGACCTACTCATGTTTCACTTTTAATCTTAAAGAGAAGCGGAAAAACGCCTCGCAAATCTCATCATTAACAAGCGTCGGCGATCGGGCTTGAACAATAATCCGATACAGCTAGCGTGTTACAGATTATCGTGGATTATCGTGCGTGGAATGATAGTCGTTGCGAATTTAATTGCTGGAATGCTTACTCGGTGGATTGATTCCTTGGCCACTGATTGCTAAATACGCAACTGTGGGAAAGCAGATCTGGTCTGTCTGGGCCAGAATCCGATAGGGAAATGCGCGTCTGTGTATTCCGACCACCGTGCATTGGATCGCACCAACGTGCCGTGCTTTCGTCTAAAATCCATCGGCGATGATTGCGTTTGTATTCCATGACATACGGTCGGGTTCGTCGCGTCACATCGCATCGCGTAGCGAACAAAAAAGTTTCGCCCGCGTGAGATTTGCGCGACCCTCAAAGAATAAAAATCGGCAAATTTCGAGCGTAGATCAAAGGACGGATATGGAAGGCAAGGCGACCGAGTTTCCGCGAATAAGTTTTCGAAATCTGCATTTTTCCATACGACAGTGCGGCGAAACGATCGTACCTTTTTTCTCTCGGATTCCCTTTCCGCGATCGAAGTGACCTCGATTCGAAGATATGTTAGTTTTAGTTCTTACGGAAACCGTTTCATCAAACGTCGCAGGAGCAAAAGTATGCTACGTGAACTGCATGCTTATTATCGCACGTCCGATTCCGACGTT